TCCACTGACATCAATTCGAATTGGCATCTGGATACAGGGGCAAATGCTCATGTGACTTCTGATTTATCTCGTCTGCAGTCTTCTTCACCATATCAAGGCACCAACTCTATAACTACTGCGGGAGGTAATACTTATCCCATTAATCACACAGGCTCAGGTATTTTAACCACCTCCCATCACACTTTCCACTTACCCAATTTACTCCACTCACCTAATATTAATGCCCATCTTCTTTCTGTCCATCAATTTACCAAAGATAATAACTGTTCTCTCCTTTTCACATCCAAGGACTTTACAATTCGGGACAACCGTACCAATCAAGTGCTATTCAAGGGCCCGTGTGAGCGTGGTCTGTACTCCATTCCAGCGTCCAAGTCACTCGTGGTCAACATGGTCAAAGTCACCCCTCATCAATGGCATTGTCGTCTTGGTCATCCATGTGTTCAAGTTACCAAGTCCTTATTAGCACAACTAGGTTTTAAATTCCAAGAACTTGATCATTGCAATTCTTGTTCACTTGCTAAATCCCATAAGCTTCCCTTTCCTGTATCTGAAACAAAAGCATCTTCCCCTTTTGATTTAGTTCACTCTGATGTATGGGGACCCACTTCTGTACCCTCATTTGGGGGATTTCGATTTTATATTAATTTTATTGATGATTATACCAAATTTTGCTCGCTCTATCCTCTTAAGAGTAAATCTGATGCATTTCATGCTTTTCAACGTTTTCAAGCTATGGTCCAAACTCAGTTCCAAACTCAAATTAAAATTTTTAGAACTGATAATGGTCGTGAATATATTAATCACCGATTTGGGATATTTTTACAAAGCTTGGGGGTTCTACATCAAAAATCATGTCCCTACACCCCTGAACAGAACGGGGTTGCTGAACGTAAACATCGTCACCTAGTTGAGACTCTCGTGACACTATTGTGCACGTCGTCCCTTCCTGCTAAATTCTAGGTTGAAGCTTTGGCTACGGCAAATTTTCTGATTAATCGCATGCCAAAGCGGTCCCTTCAAAACCGATCCCCATATGAATCCCTCTACCATACACGCCCTGAATACTCTATCCTTCGTGTTTTTGGTTGCCTCGCATACCCATGTCTCCGTCATGAAATCACCCACAAGTTTCAACCACGTTCCAAACGTTGTATATTCCTCGGGTATGATTCCTCTTCCAAGGGGTTTCGTTGCTATGACCTATCCACCGATCTTGTCTATGTGTCACGTCATGTCGAATTCCAAGAAAACCAATTTCCCTATTCCCATGGGTCTTCTCCCAATGCGTCATGCACTACCCCTCTTGAATCTTTCTTTGGTGTCCTCCCAATCTTTCCGGATAGTTCGTCGCTTGAGTCATCCCATGCTCACGGGGTCGTTGCTCACGGGGTCCCTACGATGGTACAACCTACCCCACCCATTCCCATGCCCGCTGCCTCTCCTCACCCTACGGCCCTACTACCATCCCACCCAACCACTGCCGTACAGAACAGCCCACCCCACCCCACTGCCCGACCACACAGCCCGCCCCAACCCACTGCCCTAACGCCCAGCCGAAGCACAACATCACCCGTCACCCAGCCCAGCCAACACCCAAGTCCCGAATCATCTCCAATCCCTACTCCACCCCCACCCCCACTCCGCCATCCCATGACAACCCGTTCCCGAAGTGGTATCTTCAAACCCAAACTATACTCTACTT